CTCGGAGATTAAGTGGAACATATCGCTGCGAGTGACGCCCGTTATTAGGTGGAGAATGTGAAATGTTGCGACGGGTCTATAAAGCGTTGTAAGAAGAATTTGTCACCCGATCTTGTTTAAATTCTATGAAATACATTTATAAGGGACGATTTACGAGCTCCATCTTTTACGAGGAGATACTTTAGATCATAAATTGCGGACTCATACAGCCGGTAGTAATGGGAGAATATTTTTCCCAATGCTCATATTACGTACACTGTGACACTAAGAAAAAATATTATGCTGTTACGACTTGTACGGGAATGCATTACCTAAAATATTGTGTCATTAACGCGACAAGTGTTTCGATGGAATCCCATGGCGCATCGCTAAATTATTTGTTTCGGCATATTGGATACGGCGAGTGCCCGTACGGACACTTAGAATACCTAGGAAAATACCAAACTATAAATTACGTAGCGTTACCACAATATCTTTCTGCTAAATCCAACATGATACATTGCAGTTGCGAAAATGTATGCAAGATTCAAAAGCAAAACGGAGAGAGAGTAAGGAAGGGAGGGGAGGAGAGAGAGAGAGAGAGAGAGAGAGAGAGAGAGAGAGAGATTATTCCTTTTAAAGCATACAAATCCTCATACACGTCATTTCAATCGTATTACCATTGTTTGATACAGACTTCTTTTCTTCTTTGTTATACTAAACAAAATTCTTTCCTTCCAGAAGTCTTTTTCTTTTACTCACCAAATTCGTTTGCAAATAAAATTGCAGTCAATCAAAACCGTACATATATCGAAAACAACACTGCGTACTTTCTAGGAAAAGGTAAAGATGTATCAAGTGAAGGTAGTTTACCACGGGTAACGGGTGTGAGGATTAGTGCAGTCCAGACAGATCATCCGCCACCCCCGAACGGGAGACGCAGGTCTCCGTGGAACTAGGACTGATTGTCCCCGGCAAAACTTCCTTAATTATCCCGCAGCTTCGAGGAATAATTCGAGCGATTCGAACAGCGTGGTTTACGAAGCCGATCCAACATCTCCGCGACAAACAAACCGGGGCAAGATGGAGGACGCGACGGAGGAAACGTCAGAGGAAGTGGCGGCGGCGGCGTATTCACGAAGTAATGTCTGCAAGTTCGAAGACGCGTTTTCTTAAAGTTCCGTACGTCCCAGCCACTGTGATTCGTTTCGACCATTTGTATAAACTTTTCCCCACAATGAAAATCGCCCGGAAATTTGATCAATCCCGCGAAACTGCAGCGCTATAGTAGTCTAGTGTCTTCATAGATCGTAGTCGAGAGAGTGAAAGGTGAGGATAGAACACGCTAATTCGTCAGATGAAAGTTTACAGCGTTACACTTTTACATTAGCGCCAATGGCGCACTGAAAAGTGATCAATCAATAAATGTCACCCGAGTGTGCGACGCGCGGTCGCGCTAGTATAAGAGAGCTCATACTTAATTCAGCGGGGCCATTAAATTGCATCTATATTTTCCGGAAAAGCCGCAGCGACCTTTTTCCGGGTCTCCACGCTGCCAGTCGGAAAAGTGTCTAGACGTGGAAATGGCGTTCGGTATACGCTCATAAATAATAGGACCGTAATAATAAGGGGTTGTGATTCAAATCGAATATGCCCAAAGGGGTTGCAACCTTCGACAAATCGAAGGCCGCTATCTCTGAGGACATATCTTTAGATACTTGGACCTTCGTGTCTCCGGGGACGTAATACCTAAGAGCGCTTATCTCGATGCTCGAAGGAAGGCACTTTGAGCGAAGAAGCTTAGTAGTTGAAGTTTCTTGCCGAGCACTTCTTGTCTGATGCAAGCTTACGCTGGTTCATCGGTGTTCCCCGCTGTTCTTCGTGTCGTTCGATACAAAACATACCAATGCTTAAAATCCCTTCGTCGAGCGAAGATAAGATATGTATAGTTTATTTGTCTCTCTATAAGTCAAATCTTCCATCAAAGAAATATCCTTTTTTGCACGCCATTTTCTTACAAAATCTTAAGATAAGATCTCATCCAGCAAGAAAATAACATTTCATAAGAAGTATAACTTGCAAAATAACGAGATACAGTTAAATACATTTTTTTTCTATCGTGAAATCGGAATTAAAAAGTATGTTGCAAGATAACGAGATACAGTTAAATACATTTCTTTTCTATTGTGAAATCGGAATTCTCAAATTCTCGGTTTATCAGTAAGTTAGAATAATCATTTTAATTACAAGAATTCTCCGATATCCTTTCAGAATATGTCGGTCTAAACTATATTGGTGTGTATAATCCTTATGTAATTTAACGGGCAGATAAGAGGGATCTACCACTAAAAATTTCAAGGGTCTTGGAACTAGCGATGCATTTGCAACCATTGGATTACACAGCGATATTGGTTTAATAATAGACCTTTAACTTTACACATTCCTATTTTAAATTCATAAATGTTTATTTCGAGAAAATCAATAATTATACGTTTAACTTCCACATAGTTCTCGCACATGTAAATTTTATATAAAATCGAAATAAAAAAACGATAAAGATGCCACGACTGAAGCATCAAAGATGACAATGCTACGCTCAAAGTTGTGGCCAAATATAACAGCAGTCGTCACACCACAATCGTTCCGCAATCCTTTTAACCAATACTCGAGTTGCGTAAATGTTTGCTTGTTTTTTTTCTGTTTTTTTTTTTTATAGAGACTTGACTCGTCGCGTAAAAGCCGGATGCAGAATCGGAAAGGTCGCCGCATTCAAACTCGTGTGAGTCGTGTGGCACGTCCCGGTAAACGATGCAGTCGCAACTCGATGGCTTCATAAGTTTTCGCACCTGAACGTGGGAGCTCCCTCGACAGCCTAAAGTGAGGCGTGAGAAGGACGTGGCGAAACTAGAGAGGCACGTGGATCGTATCGGGTTCCACCCCCAAAGATGCTTTAGAAAGTAAGCCCAAGGGTGTGAGACGTACGTGCCGTCGATGTGACGACGCTAACGATACTTGGAGCGAACGAGGACGATGAGACAAGGTCCACGGCGACGGTCCGGTCCCATAAACGACCGGAGCGACAAATGCAACTGCTACGAGGAGCTCGTACGCTGGCACGCGGCCCATTCCGGCGAGCCGTAGTGTTCATAGTGACGTTTATAGCGTAACACGTCACACCGTCTTTGACCGCCGCAACACACGCATTGTTTCGCGCGCGTTCGAGAAGGAGAGGACAAGACTGTTTCAATATAGTTTGATGTCTTTGAAGTGCTGAAACTTGAATATCGCATGGTTTGCACTGCCGGATTTAGTTCTCGCGAATTTGGGTCGGTATCGAGATAATTCACACAATTTAGATTAATAATTATGGAGAGCGATTAAAGCAGATTATTTTAGAAATACCTAATTTCGATTATTCCAATTTCAACGCGACGCAATCGCATGTATATGTATATATGGCATTAATAACAATTGCGAATAAAATGCTAAAAAAATGATAAAAGGATTAAAATTATTTGATATGTCAGATTAAACAACAACTTAGAATATTACAAAAATACAACGGCAACATATAATATAGAACATACAAAAACCTGCCGAATTCCTTTTTATAATTTCAAACAAACAAAATCAACTTGAACAAGTTTAAATTCAAGTTTAAATTTGAACGAGTTTAAATATAGCTTAGACCTAACTAAGAGTTGAGATCTGTATCATTCTAATCCCAAAGATCCCAACCTCACCCGTCAGGTGCACATTAATTTTCAAGTACTCGACGGCCGTCTTCGGCTTCCATGAGATCCCATGAGAGATTCACGCCAAATATGGGATTAACCCTCCGGCCTTTTACCTCGATTTAACCTTAAGTGGAAAATTCCTTCGTAATGTCAAATTTAATATTCATATCAGCGTCGCGCGAAGGCACGACCCCTGAATCCATTACCTACTTTTGCAGGAGCGATTAGTAGGGACAGCCCGGATTTCGGCTCTCGCCGTCAGCCACGTGCTGGCAAAAAGACCGTCCGGCAGACGCGCCCCGGCGTAGAGAATACTAAATGTCCAAAGACAGACACCGAGTCCGCGAGACTTCACAAAGAAGTCTCGAGTGCGCGAAACGCGAATGAACGAGTCGAGGGTAAAAGCCGGGAGAGACGCGAATGGGTGCTCGTCTATTCAAGGATTTAAAATGCTCAAGTAAGCGCTAAAATCTACCACAGACTTCGTGCCTCGCGGGGCGACTCGAGACTCGGCCCGACTTGAGTCAAGTACCAAAGCGGATACCAGCGGAGAGAGTAGCTCCTCCAGCCTTTCCGCTCGCCGCTCGTGCGCGCGCACGGCATATTTTATTCAGATCTTATTCTTAACGACGTGTGTTGCCCGGGAGAGAAGATTGAATCTCATGGTTACCTCACTGGTTGCCCTGCCGGAGGTCAGAACGATCCGCGGACGACGCGACCGTCCGTCAAGAGGAGGAAATCGAAAAGCGCGAAGGGGAAGTCATTGAAATAGTCACGGACGGATTTTTTTATTTTTCTCACGAGGTCAATCTACTCAGACGGATACGTGCTGAAGAGTGGATCTTGAAGCTTGAGTTCTCTCGCAAGCGATGCCACTCTTGAAACTTCTACCATTGATAATGACTTAGGGCAATGCGAACCTGAAAGAGATCTCGTTATTTTTCAATTGACTAATCGATAAATTAAAGCGTTGAATAATAATTTTTCGATAATTATAACGGGATAAGTTTTATGCATTCCTCGACGATAGAAAACATAAATTACGCAATAAAATAGAATATAACGTTGATCGTTGAGAACGCTTCGCGATTTCGCCCAGTTTATTATAAGGTTATAAACGAAGCACACACGCGAGACCATCGTACGTAGATTCATTCAAGCTCTGTATTTACGAGCTTTCAGGAGTTAACTTCATTTCCTGCCCGAGGACAGTCTCGACAAGCGAATTTCTCCTCTGTTGTTAGGGCCTGTTTGCGGCTGGTGTTGCAGCTATGAAAATAACGAAATTCCCCGGAACAAGGAAACGCAATGCATAAATTCCAGTCCAGATACTTTGTCCGCTTTTCTTCTTGGTCATAAAATTTTCACGGCGACGTGCAACATTGCGGAACTATTTACCGTGTGTGTGCATTCCGCGATACGCGATTATCGTTGCGGAAACGAAGAAAATGCCTTCTGCATTATTAGGTATTTATACTTACATTCTCGTGCATCGATTTTCGCAGTAGTGTCACTAACAGAGTAGTAGATGTATAGAATATGGAATAAGTGAATACGAGGTAATACGGTGCTTTCCGAAATCGAGAAATACAATTGCGTTACATTAGACTAACTAAATCGATTCATTCGTCTTTCGTGTTTTCTGTGAGGTCGGAGGGAAGATCGCATTTGTGAATCGCATACTATCGACACACTCATCGCAGCAGCGAGAACAATTTCGCGTTGATAGACGATCGATCTTCAATTCGAAAAGAGAACGAAGCAAATCTACATCGATGTGTCAATCTGTTCAGCTATATGTCACATATAAATATACTACTATCAGTTATCCGGGGGAAAGAGAATATGTAGCGGTGGCATGACTGAGAGTGCATGACTTCGAAAAGGTTGTCCGCCGTACATTCTCGTCATTGGCCTACAAAAAAAAGAGAGAGAGAGAGAGAGAGAAAACGGGAAATGGAGGAGAAAAAGAGGCATAACAGACCCGAGTAATTCTCTTGCTATCTCTATACATCCCATTGGACGCGATGCGTATGTCCGCTGGAAGGGCTTCGGGGATTCAGCGTTGCAAGAAAGAGGAACAGAGGGTGTGGCAAAAGGAGCTCTCTTGTCCACGGACAGTCCACGCCGGCGATGCGGCATATCGATTTTATTTTTATCCCCCGACCGCCTTCCCCGTCGAGTTCGCGAAGAGGTCCCGGGTTTTAAAAGAACGCTTTCACCCCTCCGCTCATTCCACCCTCCTCCCCCCCTTTCTCGACATCAACCTCACGGGGTGGAAGCGAGAGACCCCGAGTCGCGAATTGAACGAAAGTTTCGTGCAACCGAGAAGTTCGTTACGATGCGTTTTCATCTGCGCTTAGGCCGAAGGGTACGTGTCAAAAACATAAGTCTTCAATTACGCGATCTCTATGAAATCTCCACGCCAAGTAATCGACGCGCGGCGAAAGTTACGGAGGCGAATAGATTTTTAACATCGTACCTATCGATATAAAATAAAGAAGTCTTTCCTTACACGCTATACTTTTTAATTACATTTCTTGTTTTAATCGCAGTTTTCTATTTTGTTAATACGTGCAACAAATATATTGAATACATTGCTTTTCGGCAGCGAGAAAAAAATTCTAACGTTGTGTTTCGATATTTGAAAATTGAAAATATTATTTTACATATTATCTAACGAGCACTCACGGGGCTAAGTAAAATACGTATAGAAATATCCGCCGTTACGTAATGGCTAATCACATGCCGATTGTAGGCGCTGCACGTCCTGCGAGCTTCCAAGTAATTACATCAGACATTGGCATCGATCGTGAAAGGACTCGGATTACGCTTTTGAGAACATTGAAAGGCGCGAGAATTTCCCCTTTCAATAGCCTAGAACGTATGAAAGCTGGATCGGTAGATGATCAGAAATTGGCTTTTAAGGGGTCAAGGGGTATGTATCATACGATCCTCACGAGCACCGTTATTCGAATTAGATTCCGTTCCATTTCAATACACCCATTTTAATGTATCAAATTTGCGTTAAAATATTCCATAAAATTTTGTAGTTAATTTTGTAAATAATAACAGCCGTATACAAACGTCAAATCGTACCAGTTAATTGTTCGCATAATTTACAATAATATTATATTGTGAAAATAATAGAGGCACATAAAAGCTCCATTGTTGTCTTTATTGCCTCATCCTCGAGAAATAAATGGACATGTCAACGGTATATTGCTATAAGTCTCTTTGTATATCGCTGTATATATACAATAAATACATCTCGCAGGAAAAATCAATTTATTACTTTACGCCGATACGCGGCCATTAAAACGCACCCCAGAACCGTGTACGGAGTAAAATTGAAATTGTACGTGCACGTATTACGTGCACCGACGGTGTTACGCAACGGCTGTAACACACTACCTTTTCCCACCTCTTCCTCGCGTCCAAAGCTCGCCCCTCCCATCTCTCGTTCATCCATCTATCTCCCTTCTTCGATGTTATCCTAGACGCGAGGTTCGAACAAACGCACGCACGCGAGACGTATTCGCAGGGTGCTTCAAATTCCAAATGCGAGGCGCATGATGGTCTCTATCTCTATCTCCCGCTCCCTCTGTCTCTCTCTCTCTCTCTCTCTCGCTCGCGTACGTATACAACGGCGTGCATTTACACGAGTTACATAATAACTCCCGACGGTGCATCGACGAGCCGTACATTGGGCAAGGCGCCCCACGACTCCGTGTATTTACTCAATACTGAGTATAATGTTTCCCCGGCGTATACGTGTACGTGAACGCTCGCACTATCGCCGTTGAAGGAAACGTATACTGAAGGTCCATTTACGATGCCTCATATGGTCGAAACGCGCGAAGTTGCATTGCGCAACAAGGCATAGCTAAGCGCAACAACTATCCGTCTCTAGATACTCGTGATATCCGAGAAAATTACGTGGAAAAAGAAACCTTCGAGAGAGATAAACAGCGCGTTACTTAAATGAATAAACGATAAATTACTGCAGACGATTGATAAGAGAATCAATTTCTACGAGCTTTTGTACCTCTTAATACGGACGTTATATAAAAATTTCATCATTTTTATCGATGCAACCATTTCCTTTTATAATCGGTTTACTTTGTTCTATTAGATATATGTGCGTGTAAATCGTGTTAGTAAATTTAAACTAGAATACACCTTCTGAAAGGTTTTAAAAGGGCGCGTTTACTTTCCATTAAATGTTAAATGAAACATTTAACGTCCGTGAAATTTGTCGCGAGAATTTTCCTGTTAATAGGAAATTTCAATGAAAATATAACATTGTAATGTGACGATCGCGACGGCGACGGTAACATTTCCAGTTCTCATTCGGCGAGGCGCGGCGGTGCCTCGGAGTTACGTGCAGGGCGTTTTCGTTTGCACATTGAAGAGCTCATCAAAATTACGAGCTTTGGTCGAGACAAGTTCGTTACACGCGACGGGTGACCAATAGAAATTTTCTCATTTCGAAACGTGCCGCGTCGAAACGGCCACGTTTCGAAATCCATTTCGCACTTACTGCGCGACCTATACGATCGCGCACAAAAGGCAGCATCGCACGCTGAAAGAACATACATCACTCGCGTGTAGCCGCCCCTATAAGCTTCGCAATTAATTCGCATCCGGCGTAGTTATAAAATCGCATCCTCGCTCGCTCTCCGCCCGCTTTGTTGCAAAGTGAGTGCCCGCTATTTTCCTTCGCACTTTCTTTTGACCTTCTCTCGGTTCTTCACCTTCTACTCGCTCGGCATGAAAATTCATCGACTCTATTCCTCGTTTCTGTTTATGCATGCATATACATGCATATGCATACATAAACAGGTTTATGTACACATACAAAATAGCCTTATCCTGTCGCGCTTTCGCTATCAATCCCGCTTTATCTCCTTCTCAGACTCCGACGTAATCCCTTTTCTTTGTCATCGTGCGTTACGGATACGTTTCCCAAAGAGCTGAAAGAATGCATCCGCGTTCGATGCTTTATGGAAATCGGCCTTCATACGGGAAGATTGAACGCGGAAAAGCTCCTCCTCGCCGTCGTGTGCCTCTGTCGGAGTTCTTTTTTCTCTTCCCCTTTTCCATCGACGTTACAACGCCGTATGCACGTAACCTCGTTTGGCCGGAATCCACGCGCCGGATCTGCAGTATTAATTATAATGGATCGTTCGTATTATGGGCCGTACATTGCCGGTGAAACCGGCTTCATTCCGCACCGGGACGAATTATCAATTTATTACTCTCCATGATCGTTTCTTGGGATTAATAACCGGGGCTTACTTCGAACTGGGAATCCCGTAGTAACGTTATGAATTAACCTACGGAGGTTAAATAGGAGAATTGCTGTTAAATGTTAGATTTCACGAAAGGTAATCTCTGACTCGTAAGATCGTAAATAAAGTAAATTAAATAATAATTGCAGAAATTATGATTATTTATTCGTCCACTCGTCGCTCTTATGGTCCTCTACAAAATTTATTTAAACTAATCTTGAATTTATTAAGTATATTATTATTAATGTTCATATCATTTGTAATAGAGAGAGAGAGAGAGAGAGAGAGAGAGAGAGTTGGAAAACATTAGTCCTCTGTTATTTATTTTTTATAATAGTTCAACATTTAAAAACGCAATTTATACGATTTCATTTACGTTCTGAATCGATTTTAATATTACTTTCTCAGTAGAATTTACTTTCTCAAATATTTAACGTTTATTTTCGCATTTTCCATTAAAAGATTTTCATTATATTTACGAAAAAAAAATTCTCTTGAAAAGTATTCACTGTTTGCTACGTTAATATGTACAGATAAGATACTTTCGGCTTTCTACTTTCAAATCTCGAGATTATATTAATTCTCCCTATTTTAAAATATTATTTTCCTTTTAGTTGAAGTAATACGAAATAAACTGACATATAATACCTATTATAAAGAACAAGTAAAAAAATAAAATTCACAAAGTTACATAAAAAGTTAGTAAATTATAGAAATTAATTTACAGCGTTTTTCCTATACGTCTAAATTTTCACAATCTCTGTTCAAACGTGATCAACGCGGGGGCAAGGATTTTTCGTACAGCAGCCTCTAGCGTAGCGGCGTGCTGTACAACGGTCGACCTCCGTGAAACCGAGGTGGCCCCTCGGGAGCCCACGGAATATTAAGCAAGATTCTAACATCCCTTGGCGACCTCGTAGCGAGAGAGGAGCGAGCCATCGGGCATGCTGTAAATTTCACTTTGCGGAACTTAAGAGAGGTCTACTCTGGGGTTAGCTGGTCCAAGTTCCGCAAGAGACAGCGCACGACGGGGACGGTGAGGTGCTGCGACGGAGCGACCGACCAGATGGGAGTGAGGGAGAGGACGGGGGGTGGAAGGTTATCCTGCGGGGAGGATAGGAAGACGTTACGATGCAGCAGACGCCAGTGTACCGGGATCTCCTTCTGCGGCGGCAGACAGTTTGCTGCACTAATATTAGCACGAGGGATAAGGGACCTCGCGCTCGATACCGGGTGACATCGAAGCAGCCGGGCGGGGACGAGACGGGACAGAAAGCGAGACGTAAGCTGTGGATTTCTCGGCGCTCCTCCGTCGGAGACGCCGACGGTTTGTCTTTTCTCGGTTAACCTCATCCACGACCTCCTCAACCGCGATTCGCTTAAGACCGGATGATTCACTTCGGCGTGTAATGCCGTAAGGTACGCCGAGTGGCGTACGCGCGCGTAAAGAGAGAGAGAGAGAGAGAGAGAGAGAGAGAGAGAGGGAAGGGCTGTCGGTTCGATATGTTATCCGCTGCTCCCCGTCTTTGATCTATAACATTACGCCACGCAGTAACTAATTACTGCGATCGAATGATACGCGCGGATATTTAATCGAAGGGATACATGCCTCATTTTACAGTTTGATTAGTCGTTTAGTTGGATAAGCACAATTTATAAGAGAGTATAATTAAGTTTCCTGTCGTAGCGCAATCGTACTCCAAGACAGCGCAATATCCAAAATCGAAATAAAACTGATTTTGAAAATGTCCTTAATTAACATGTCTTATATCTGGAATTAAGATTAAACACAAAATGATTTTTTCAAATATTGAATTACGCTGGAAAAATATACATGTTATTAATAAACAATACAATGCTTTAAGAGGAAAATATAGTTTTTCATTATATTTTACCCTAATCTTTTGTGTGTGTGTGTGTGTGAGTATCTAACACAGTCTTCCCTTAATAAGTATATTCGTTAAGTCGGCACTCGCAATACCGAGCTGCGAAAACGATAATACGAAGTTCTTTACGAGCGGGGTTTTCTCTCTTTACTGGTCCGGATTTCCTTCTCGCTTCCTCGTTTCACTTCCGTTCCATGAAATTTCACCCTTCGTCCTTCCTCCTTTCTCCTTCCATCTCTCCTTCTTTGAATTCTCTTTCTCATTCAACTTAAATAACTCGTTTGGCAGACCACTGCACAGGATCTCTAATAAGATCGCCGGCACGATATTCGTTCTTCGTTTCTCATTCCCTTCGCTCTTCGCCATTCCTCCCCGTCTGTCTGTCTGTCTACGGCCGTCTACTCTCTCACCCTCGACTTTTCGACTTATCTGACCTCGAGCTACTCCGGCTCGCCATTACCGCGGGCTCTCGGTTAGTCAAAGCTCGATTAATTTCTTCGGTCCACAATCCGTACAGGAGCAGGCGTGAAGAAGTGTCTGGCGCTCCCTGCGCCGGAGACGATAGAGAAATCCTGATGTAGTTAACGAGAAAAGTATCGAGTATCTCCGCAAAAATATCTTCCCGCGGCACAAATCCCATAAACTGCTGGGGCGGTTTTGCGGCGCGACTGTAAATCAAGACGAGACCGGCGGATTAAGCTGATATCTCATAGCGGGGAGAAGTATGTACATTTGTGAGATACAATTGTGCACGAGAATTGCAGATAGAATGCTTCGTTGGCGATATTAATGACGAAGCCGGAATTTTGTGCTCCATGAAAACCTCATCGCCCGGCGCCGATATAATCTGACAATCTAATCTGCCTGATGACTTTCGCGAGGGAGATACACACACACACACACACACACACACCACGTTCAAAAGAATATTGAATTACGTAATTGGTTATTAATCATCGCGAATAAAATTGATGATGAATAAATCATATTATCTAGGAGAGGGAGATTGATTTACGAAGCGTTGATGCAAGTAAATTTAATATTCCCGCGAGCCGTTCGTTGTATGAATAATTAGTTGCACATTCATCGAAAGCTAATCATCA